AAGCCCCGGGGCTCCGGCTGGGCCTCCGAAAGCTTCTCAAAGGACGAGGCCCTCTGGGCGTTTGGGTTAGGTCGGCATGTCCTGCTGGAGGCGGATCTTCGAGGAACAAAAATAGTCAACAAACGCTTTGATAGTAGAAAAAAATCGTCCCCAGACTATTCTCTCTACTCTTCTTGAACACTCCCTCTGTAGAGGGACGTGCCGGCCTTCACGTCTGGAACGGCCCGCCTCCTCTGCCTCCTCCCCCCGGGGCGCGCCGCCGAGCATTTGGCAGCACCACCGCTGGTCCACCACCACGCCGCGGAGGGTGGGGGGGGGGGGGGGAACACCGCGGGGGAGGCCGGCTCCCTGGGGGGGACGGGCACCGAGCGTTGGGTCGGGCATGTCCCCCTACCGGCGAATCTTTGGCGGGAAAAAATTCTGGACAATTGATCTTTATTGCAATTAAGAACCAGAAAAATGTGTGGTTCTTCACGTTTACTTTTAAACATGGGGAACAACAACAGCAACAACAACAACAACAACAACAGCAACAACAAAAGCAACAGCAACAGCAATAGCAACAACAATAATTAAACAACAAACATTAAAGCACAACAACAACAACAACAACAACAACAACAACAACAACAACAATTACTAGCACGTGGGGACACACCGTTCTCACCAGTGCCAGGGTTTTCATAGGAGGCGGGCAATACCCCCACTTTGTGGGGGGGCCGGTTCAAGCTCTACCAAATTTCCAAACGACTCTTCGCCACCACCCACACCCAGCTTCCCGCCCTATGACGTTCGGACACTTCACTTCGTGGCATGCGGACGACCGTGGCTACTATTCAGGGCCCCGCGGCCGACGACGACGGCGTGCGCGCGCGAAGAAAAAACGAATGTGTCCCGCATGGTATTATTTGACAGGGATGATGGCCCTGGCAGGTGCGCAACCGTTGTTGCAGAAGTTCGAAAAAGTTGCTCGCAAAAGCCCGTTTGACAGAAATGTTTAAAAAGTGTTGGGTTTCCTACGAATCCGCAAGAGCGCGCGGGATGAGATTTTGACAATTGTTTGTTGAAAAACCATTGGTTTTTTTGATGTTTTTATGTTAAAATCGCTGCGAACACTAAGGTTTTGGAAGGATTTCGTCTTGCGCGCGCGAATGTCCACTTTACCTTATTTTTTGCAAGGGATTCTTGAAATTTGATTATATTAGAACAAGAAATGTCATTTTCTATTGTTTTTTGCAAGGGAAAGCGGATTACAACAAAACAACCGGATCCTGTACACACCCTCTTTTCTGAGGCTTCCTCACGAAAATGATGAAAATGTAGCTGCGGCCTAGGCGGCGCAGGGGGGGCGCGCACCAGGGGGCCCAACAATAATTATTTTTTAGAATAAATAATGTTCAACAACAACAACAGCAGCAGCAGCAGCAGCAACAACAGCAACAACAACAACAACAACAACAACAACAACAACAACAACAACAACAACAACAACAACAATTACAACAACAGCAAAAACAACAACAAAAATAATTTTGAAACTGTTCGCCCTTAATTGCTCGAGTGTCCAATAACGCGTATTTCCCAAACCCTCGATACCCGCCCTCTTCTTCTTCGATCGAACCCCTTTTGGGGGGTATACCTTTCTTCCCTGCCGGCCAGGCCCCGGCAAGCGGCGGGGCGGCCGCGGACCGTCAGCCTGGCCAGCGGCAGCGCTGATCGGCGGGGCGGCCGCGGACCGTCGACCCGACCCCAAGAGGGACGGACAAGGAACCGACCACGCCGACGACGACGACGACGACGACGACGACGACGACGACGACGACGCGAACGACGCGAAAGCGAGAGCGAGAGAGAACGACAGCAGGGCCACGAAGGGCACGAAGTAGGCCACGAAGGGCGACAGCGGGGACACGAAGGGAATGCGTATGGGGCCACGAAGAGCGCGAACGAGCGGGGGCCACGAAGTGCAGATAATGCGGGGCCACAGAAGGCAACTATGGGGCCACTGAGGGTAGCAACTGGGCCACGTAGGACAGTGAGGGGGACACAAATGGCGACAGCGGGGCCACGAAGGGCATGCACATGGGGCCACAACGGGCGCGACTCCTGGGTGCCTGGGTGTTGGGAGCGCGGCGCTTGGGCAAATTGCAAGAAATTCCAACGCAAGGCCATTCTTCAGTAAGTTGCAAGCAAGTCTCCAGCGAGAGCACGACTCCAGAGCGCCGGGAGAGCAATTCCTGAATAAATTGTAAGGAAGTCCCAAGCGAGAGCGCGATTTCTGAATAAAATGCGAGGAAGTCTCGGGCGGGAGTGGGGGTCCTGGCTAAACTGTAAGGAAGTCTCAAGCGGGAGCCGTTGTTATTGTTACCAGGGGACCAGGGGCCCAGTTTGAGCAGGAAGACTTTCCCTGTCAAAAGAAAGGGTGCGAGCGTCGAGGGGCACACTTTGATTGAGAAAAAACAGTATGCACCGGTGGGGGGGGATCAACAATAATTATTCTTCAGGAATGAGAATTCAACAACAACAACAACAACAACAACAACAACAACAACAACAACAATCATTTTACCCGAACGCTCAGTGTTCTCACCAGTGCCAGGGTTTTCATGCGACGCGAGACAATACCCCCACTTCGTGGGGGGGCAGTTCAAGCTCTACCAAATATCCAAACGACTCTTCGCGACCACCCAAACCCAGCTTCCCGCCCTATGACGTTGGGACACTTCACTTCGTGGCGTGCGGACGACCGTGGCTACTACACTGGCGTGGGGTACACACCCACAGAACTTGGTCACTTATTCGGGGCGCGCGTGTGCCCAGCATCCTGCAATTGTGACATACAATACATGACACAGACAGACAGAGAGAGAGACAGAGAGCAGACAGAGAGAGAGACAGAGAGAGCGGAGTTGGTCACATTTTTGGGGCAAGTTCCTGAGATCGTCGTGTTTTTTGTTGGTCTTGCGCGCGCGAATGTCCACTTTACTTTTTTTTTGCAAGGGAGTATTGAAATTTGATTATGTTAGAACAAGAAAAAGTAGCTCGCGCGAGCTCATGTAACATAAATGTTGAAAAACCATTGGTTTTGTGGGAGTCGGACAGCGCGCGCGGGATGAAATTTGGACATTTTTTTTTGAAAAACCATTGGGTTTTTGATGTTTTTATGTTGAAATCGTTACGAAACCTAAGGTTCTGGAAGGATTTCGTCTTGCGCGCGCGAATGTCCACTTTACCTTATTTTTTGCAAGGGATTATTGAAATTTGATTATGTTAGAACAAGAAAAAGTAGCTCGCGCGAGCTCATGTAACATAAATGTTGAAAAACCATTGGTTTTGTGGGATTCGGACAGCGCGCGCGGAAGGACATTTTGACAATTTTTTCTTAAAAAACCATTGGGTTTTTGATGTTTTTATGTTAAAATCGTTACGAAACCTAAGGTTTTGGAAGGATTTCGTCTTGCGCGCACGAATGTCCACTTTACCTTATTTTTTGCAAGGGATTCTTGCAATTTGATCAAGTAAGAACAAGAATTTTCATTTTATAGTGTTTTTTGCAAGGGAAAACGGATTACAACAAAACAACCGGATCCGGACACAATCCACTTTTCTGAAGCTTTCGCTAGAAAATGAAGGAAATGAGGCTGCGGCCTAGGTTTTGGAGGGGGGTCGCGCACCAGGGGTCCCAACAATAATTATTCTTAAGAAGAAATAATGTTCAACAACAACAACAACAACACAAAACAAAACAAAACAAAACAACACAGGACAACACAAAACAACACAAAACAAAACAAAACACACACACACAAACAAACAAAAACCTATGATTGTTTGACTATTTGTTTGAATATCCGTCCTTGAGAAGGACATGCCCGACTTAAACGGAGCCGGAAGCGGCGATGCAGCGCCGATCGCCGACCGACATCGGCGACGGGCCCCCGATCACAGCTCCACACGCTCCTGGGCGGGGTGGGCCATGGGCGATGCATCGGCGAGGAGGAGGAGGAGGAGGAGGAGGAGGAGGAGGAGGAGGAGAAGGAGGAGGAGGAGGAGGAGGAGGAGGATGCATGGGCGAGTGGGGGTCCATGTGCCCCACCCCCCCCTGTCGTTCGGCCCGACCTGAGCCCTCAGTGGCAACTCGTGGGAGCCTCCCATCCCAGCTTGTCGGCCCCTGCGAATCGACGCTCCTCGACGCCAAAATCGACGCTCATCGACGCCAGATCGACGCGAAAGGCGGGAGTACGAGAGCATACAAGGTTCCCATGATGTGCTACCCGATGAGCCTGTCCCCCCCTGGTGTTGCCCCTGACCTTCCGCTCCCAGGCTTTCGGGCCACAAGTTTGGGCCTCAGGCGGCCGTCGGGGACGACTCGGGGAGCCCGCAGCGCGCTCTCGAAGAGGCGCCGCTGCTGGAAACCACTCAGCGCCCTCAAAACGTCAGAAGTGATGGGCGTGTTTTCCACCACCACCACAATAAGTTGGAGGGGGGGTCCTCCTCCTCCTCCTGCTCCTGCTCCTCCTCCTCCTCGCCCTCCTCCTCCTCCTCCTCCTCCTCCTCCTCCTCCTCCTCCTCCGCCTCCTCCTCCTCCTCCTCCTCCTCCTCCTCCTCCTTCCCCCCTCCCAACTTATGGTGTGTTGGTGGACAACAGCTCATCGAGAACCTGCGAAAACTCTCGGAAGCCTCCCCCTCCTCCTCCTCCTCCTCCTCCTCCTCCTCCTCCTCCTCCTCCTCCTCCTCCTCCTCCTCCTCCTCCTCCTCCTCCTCCTCCTCCTCCTCCTCCTCCTCCGCAGCCGGCGCAGCCGGCGCAGCACGCTGCGCTGGAGACACGAGGGCGCCCGCGCGCGACCTCACGCGCGCAGCTCGAGCGCCAACGCCGGCGCAGACCGCCCCGTTTCTCTGCGTCGCTCGTCGCTCCCCCTGCACCCCCCACCCCTCAGCCTATGTACTCCCCCCCTGTCACGTTGCCCGCGAGGACGGGCGGGGGATGGGGGGCGGGGCGCCCCGGCCGGCGGCCCCGGGATCTCCTCCGGGGGCGGCACGGCGGCGGCGAGGTCTCCGGCCGGGCCGCCTGATGGGGGGAGGGGCGCCGAAGGGGGGAGGGGCGAGGAGGTGCGGACGAGGGAAGAGGGAGGAGGGAGGAGCGAGGAGGGAGGAGGCAGGAGAGGGGAGGGATGAGGGAGGAGGGAAGAAGGAGGAAGGAGGAGGAGGAGGGAGGAGGGAGAAGAAGCCGTGTGGGCTCGCGCCAAAAAGTCAAAAACTATAGCGAGGATGCAAGTTGCAGGCCCCTCGGACGCCAGTGTTATAGAACTGTTTCGAGCCCGGCGAGCCAGCGAAACTAGTCAAGGATGGACCGTAAAGGCGCGGAGGGTACCCTTGGGAAGGTAAGCCCATCCTTGCCGTCGGCTTCGACTGCATCTGACACACACACACACTGCCCCCCCACCCATCCCTCCCCATTGCGCCGATGTGTTCTCTGTCCGCGGACGCGTGTCACAGCGGGCCTGGAGCTCCCAAACAGGCCCACACGCGTCATGCGCAATCGGAAAAGAAGGAGCTACGCACAGAGGAGGAGGAGGAGGAGGAGGAGGACGACGAGGACGAGGACGAGGTGACGGATGAACAGGAGCATGGGCAGGATAAAAAAGAGGATCATGAGGAAGGAAGATGAGGAGGGCGAGGACGAACGGCGGCAGCGGGCACTGGATTGGAAGACAAAAGGAGGAGGCGAGCTGAGATAAGAAAGAGGGTGGAGGGCGCCCCAGCCGCCCACCGCTGGGATCGGAACGAAGACGAGCTCTGAGTCTGAAATGACTCTGGTAGGTCGTATTGCATCCAATTTCATGTCGAAGGAATACGATATGGGGTGTGGATGGATAAGATAGGAGAAGATCGATGTATCGGTATTTCCAGCACATAGCGAACACCAAGTCAGGTATCCGGGCAAATAGGGCGCGCGTGCCTTGAGCCATAAGGCAGCGACGCGCAGGCTATACTCCCGATTACCTATAACATCTCCCAAAGAGCTACCCTTGAAGTCGGGAGGGGAGGAGACGGAGAGTAAAGCCGCGCGGTCGCTAGGCTTTCGACAGGCGCGCAACTGTTTGCAAGGAAAACAGTACACGCAGTCTGGTCAACCACCAGACTGAAGGGCGATATTACTCGCTGGCGAGCTTCCTCGCAAAACTTTTTTACGCATGCACAGGACAGCCTCTTGGATAGACAAGGGCTATCGGCCCGGCTAGAGGTAAGCCAAACAGGCTATTCTCCTCCAGGCAAAAGGTATCAGGGCAAAGATCCTGAACCAAACTGAACAGGCTCGCTGCCAAGCGCGAAAAGCATGGCTCGTTTCCGAGCAAGAAAGAGGGCGCCTCCACACTAGGCGCCCGCGCTGGCAAACTGGACCGCAGGGGCAACAAGGACAGACCAAAAATGATTCGACTTAGGCTTGGTTTTGTCCTCAGGGCCCCGAAAAGGAACAAACTGCTTCACGTCAGACTTAGAGGACTGGGTGCCTGACATCACTTCCAAAAGCAGCTCCCGATCGATACTCCCCTTTGAATGCCCGTCTGCGGTCATGTCTCTAGTGCCACACCACTGTACGTTATGCACTATACCTATATCCATGAGCTCACGTATCCAGCTGGTATGTCCCAGCAAAGTACGTTCCGTCGGTACATTGAGGTCTTTGCTAGATAATGAATCATATACAGACTCAGCGTCTATAGTAAGGGATACTTTGATAGCTAGGCCTCCAACTTCACGCAATCTCGCAGTTGTCGTGGGGCAAGTGCTCCAGCCTTGAGCTCGTGGAGAGTGATGAGCGTTGGATAGCATTCATCAAGATTATGTGCAGCTGCAAGTGCCTCAGCGGCATAGCTGGACCTCACCCGCAGCCGGTGTGACTTGCATAGTCCGTCGCAAAGCTGAACGACGGATTTGCCTTGGGGCGAGTTTCCTCGCCGTAATACGTTAGCCCCACGAATACCGTAGCCCTTGGTTTCATCGCCCTCCTCCCCGGTGAGTTTCCGATACCCCGAGTCACTATGTATGTACACTTGGGAAAGTGATGCGTTTCGGGCTGCTGATCAGCTTTCGCGCCACAGCATTCAGTCGCCTGACTTGTAAGTTGGTGGGCTCTTGGATCTTCTGGAGAGATACCACATACACCATGAGCCAGACATGAGTAAGAAGGGCATAGGCGAGAGCTCCTCGCAGGCTAGCGAACATGTCGGAGATGAGTTTGGTAGCCTTGGGGTCTGCCGCTGCTCCCGTAAGTTCAGGATGTGTGATAGGACGTAGTTGTTTGATAAATTCGCCCTGGTCCATGATCACATCCCCTTGTTCATTCTTCGTGTAGCGAACGGCACAGTTGGTGTAAAAAAAATTTGTTGGGCTTGCATTTACCTAGCACCTTTTCGACGCGTTGTACATAGTCGTCTACGTTTTTCTCTAGGCCTGTCATATTGATGGCGTCGACATGTTTTGCTGTTAATAGGTCCTGACTGAATTCACATTCAGGATCGTAGCTTGTCGGTGCAAGGCCTATAGCTCGAGTAGTCGTGCGAAGCTTTAGGGAGAATGCTCTCGGGGCGTCCTTTGCACCAGTTCCTGGCTTGAAGCACCCGAGGCTGCGTCGGCTTTCATCATAAGAGGAGAAGCCTGGTAGGGTGCGAAGCACCTGGGCACTTCCTGGTGGAAGGGCGAAGCAAACCATGCGAGTCCCCTCGCCGGTTGCATGAGCAAGTTCCTCATATGTCAGTCCTTCGAGGAACGCTCTGTCGATGTCCATAGATGCTGAGATCCATTCTGGATGACGCGCAGCTTCACTTGCCAGAAGCCTCCGGGACTGTCGGCGGGCAGTTCCCGAGAAGGTTTCCACGTCGAAAGCCTCCGCGTCCATAAATCCGCGGAGGACAAGTCTAAGACGGATGGCTTTAACATTCTCGATGCCTACTTTCACAAACTTCCACTTGCATACATATCTGGATGTCATGATGTTGGAAGCTTCTGACAGGTCAAACATCTCAAAGCATCGGTTGTCAAGCCAGATTTTGAGTTCGGTGTACAGGGCTTTACTAACCTCTTTAGGATGTGCTGCTATGTTGGCTTTGGTGGATAAGTCGTCCTCCCTGACTACTACAGCACGTTTAGCAGCCGATGGTACGTATACTCTGATCGTTGCGACCATGTTTGGTTCGAGCTGTGCGAGTTGGGTCTGATCCAGCACGATAGTTGACAATTCTGGCGTAAAACATAGCTCGACATATGGGCCATGTTCATCACTGTCAAGAGAGACAAGACAGGGCTCTTGTTGTCCAGGCTCGTTTCCGAGCATCTCCGACACAACGGTATCTTCCTCATCCACTGATGCTGAGACCAAGACACATTGGTCGGGCAGCATGGTTGTTGGGACGCAGTAGGGACAGTCGTCGATAACCGTCGTGGGATGAAGGTCCATACGCAACTCATCGTACCACTCCTCCATCACCATAGCCTCGATGTCGTGTTCCTCGCTCTCCTCGTAGATTGTAGACTGCCTTCACTCGGTGATGAAGCACCTGGGGTGTCTGGAGGAGGCCTGTCTCCAGGCTGGTCAGGTCCTTCAGACGGTGTGTCCAAGTATTGATATTTGGCAAGGTCGTCATGAAATCCTAGGGAAGGAACTTGTGACGTCAGGCACTGGATGAGTCTGGAGTGAGTGCTACCAGTGATTTGAGAGATGTCCAGGCCGGTGCCTACACACTCATAGTAGTGGAAGGCTGGGTACACATCGCTGTCGTAGTGGATCAGCGTAGACCCGATGGCGTACTTAACTGCAGGTAGATTGAACACGCTCTTGGCCAATCTCACGGCTACTACGCGCTCAACTCGGAAATCGTTCCGCACGAGATACTGTAGTGCTAGGTGTACGCGCGGGTGAAACTTGCTGTCGTCGGAAAGATTGAGGTTTCCCTTGTAGTCTGGAATATAGCCAAAGACTTTGGCAGGTTTCCCTGCACCAAGGTGTGCCACATATGTGAGGACGGTCTGCATGGCCACGTTGTCCATGCCAAGTTCCCTGGGGAGAAGGCATTCAATGTGTAGCGTGTGGCAAGCATCAGGATACGTTACAATTACCTCACGCGATCCTGCCTTGACCACTACGTGTCCTCGTTCAGGCACGTTACGGATCACAGGGAACGGGCCATTCCAGCCTCCATGGTCGTTCTTAGTGGCCGTGGGTCGGTGATAATCGACCAAGTCCCCAGCTGAGTATAGGCGAGCACCATCTGGGGCCGCCTTAGCCCTGAGGGCACGGTTCGTCTTCGCTACCGCCGTGGCTTGAGTTATTGTTTCCAGGCTGACTTCCCTCACGCGACGTCCGCGCTCGTGGCCTGGCGTCTCGGGCCCCTTGGGGGCGTCAAGGGTGTCGAGGTCAGGAAAGAAAGAGGACTCTCGCTCAGCGAGTGCTTGGTGCGGCGATACTCCGTTGTAAAACGTGAAAGCGCTAGTGACGAAGATGCCTTCGGCCAGTACTCTAGTAAATACAATGGGGATGTTGTGTCTGGTCAGCTCTTCCTCAATCATGTGGAGAGTGCCTCTAAGAATGCCATTACGTGACTCGATCGAGGTCGCGTGCTATTGAGGGTAACTTCTCCATCTGAATACAATGTATAGCACCCCGCAATTGCGGATAAGAGTGAGGGGGCGGGCGCGGGCGACGCGGGCGTCGTCAAGCCGGCGGACCTCGTGGCCCCCACCTTCCTTGTCGATGGCGCTTTCCTCCTCCTCCTCCTCCTCCTCCTCCTCCTCCTCCTCCTCCTCCTCCTCCTCCTCCTCCTTTTCCTCCTCCTCCTCCTCCGCCTCCTACTCCTCCTCCTCTTCCTCGTCCTCGTCCTCGTTCTCATCGTCATCGTCGTCCTCCTCCTCCACCTCGTCCTCCTCCTCCTCCGCTTCTTCCTCGTCCTCCCTCTCCCCCCCTCGTCCTTCCATCATCGTCCTCCCATTGTCGCCATGTTCCTCCTCGTCGTCCTCCTCCTCTTCTTCCCCTCCCGATCCTCCACCCTCCTCCTTTTCGTCGTCGTCGTC